TTTGAATAAATTAGCTTTAATATTTATATATCAGTATACTGATATATCGAAGATTTCGTATTTCTCTAATGTGGCGTTTATTGTCCGATTTTAAAAATTTTCAGCCATTTGGTATGCCAACCAAGGCTAACAACTGTACCAAGTTTGGAAGAAATTGGTGCAGCGGTTACCAAGATATACACATGTAACCATAAGTGGGCGTGGCTACGCCCATTTTCCAAAATTTTTTAATATTCTTATTTTTCGCCTAAAAATTATTGTAAATATTAATTTTTATTGAATAGGCTTCAGTAGTTACTAAAATATAGCAGTTTTCGTATTTCTGAAAATTACCGTTATATGGGAGGTAGGCGTGGTTGTTGTCCATATATTTGCCCATTTTCAATACCATCCCGTCCTACGGCTGAAAGAAGTTATAATACCCTTGTGCACAAGTGCGCTCGGGTATAAAAATACAAAAATATGAAAATTTGAATAGCTACAGTATCGGTCATATCTATAGCACGCCATTTCAAAGTGCTATTGTGTGTCACTTATGTTTATTTAAGAATTTTCAATTAAAATATAGTTTATTCTCAGACAAACCCGGTACAAACCCAAGCTTAATAATTTGTAGAAAGTTACAAAAAACCGCAACAAATTTTCACATAAACTTCATACTTTTATCTCAGAAGTGTTCGATTTTTTTTGAGTACACAGTTTTTAGCCCCTTCAATTTTAGTCTGAGCAAGTTTCAAGTGGCTAAAAGTTACCGTTTAATTTTTAGATTTTTTTTTTGTCGCATTGGCTTCCATATGATGAACAAACTCAATTTATTTGTATATGGAAGAAATCCGCAACACCTTTGGCGAAAAAAATTCTAAAAAATCAACGGTAACTTTTAGCCACTTGAAACTTGGTCATTATCAGACTAAAATTGAAGGGGCTAAAAAACCGTGTACTCAAAAAAATTGTAACACTTCCGAGAAAAAAGTCTGAAATTTAGGTGAAAATTTGTTGCACCTTTTTGTAGTTTTCTACAAATTGTTACACTTGGGTTTATATGGGGTTTGTCTGAGAATGAACTGTATTTGAATCGAAAATTCTTAAAAATAAGTAAATAAACATAAATGGCACACAATATCACTTTGAAATGGCGTGCTATAGATATGACCGATACTGTATATATGTTTAATAGTTCTTAAGCTTTTCTTTTGTTCATCATATTATTAATCTTATCACTTTGGCCATAAAATGTTTGGCGTATGTGATAGAATTAACTCGACAGATAAGGATTTTTTTGGTTTATTAAATATTTGTATACAATCCAACCTACATACATATATACATATGTATGTAAATACATACGTTTTACTAAGCCTTTTACAAATAACTATTCTTGATTATTTATTTAAGATCTTTGGGAGTACTTGAACCCATATAATGATATAAATCTTTCAGCGTAGAGTGCACTAATTTAGCCTTAATAGTATCACGCTTCAGCCGCTTATATGCCTCGTACCGATGGCAGCCACCAAAGCTATAAAAATAATCACCACCTTCAGAACCCTTAATCCATAGTACATCTATCGGGGGTACATCGTCTTCGCTTGACTCATTCTGTTATTAACAAATAAAACTCGTTAAAAATGTACGTATGTAGATATTTTACAAAGAAGTCGGTCAATTTACGTCATCACTATTTACACCATTGATATACATATTCAACAGCTGTATAACG